ATACGTATGTATAGTGGAAGGTTCTCGATAGTTACAGAGGCTGGTAGTCAATATAAGGAACTACTCTTAAATCTCATATTTATGAATGAGAAGTGGGGAGCACTGATGACAGTGACCCTATCTTAAAAAGTTTTACCAATATTTCATTTATAAGGACAATTTGGCATCCCCATCAAGGTACCTTCAACCACCAGGAGTGTTTTCATCATCCACATAAGAGGATGACACCAAGTTGCAGTTTGTACAACTTACATAAAATGTCTCTAACGTGTTTCCCCTTTCTAAAGCTAAGCAAACCCGCAATGCATATCGAAAGGGAAGGCTTGTTGCTCACAAAGATACAACCGACACAATTAATTCTTCTATTTTTTTAAAAAAAAATCGGTTGCAACTAAGCAAAAGTTGTTGTTCGGGGGGAAAACACCTGTACAAAGAAAAGGTCTTATGAATGTGCAAAATCTCTTTGGGACAAGCAATTTTTAAAAAAATCCTTTTCTATAGTTTCTTGTTTAGTATGTAAAAAATAAAGACTATGTTGCAGGCACAAGTTCCCAGGTTCCATCTTTGGTGTCTCCAGTTAAAGAGACCAGGTGACAGAGAAAGGCTCATACATGTGTAAATTGGCTGCCATCACATTCCTAGGCTAGATACTAGTAGAGTAGAGAAACAGTTTGACTTGGTGTAAAGGCAGCATAATGTCAGTGGGGTTATTAAGAGGTGACTTCTGGTCAGATGTACCGTATTTGCCAGTGTATAAGGTGACTGGGCGTATAAGACCACCCCCCAACATTCCCACTCAGAATGTAGAGTTTGTTATATACTTGCTGTATAAGACAACCCCCTCTTCCGCATGCGTGATTCTGCTTTGGCTGCATCATGGGGAGAGTTCCTTTTGCCCCTTTTGGTTCCTTTTCAGAGAGAGCCAGGGTTTGCTGGAAGAAGGAACAGTAGAGAGGTGGCAGCCATTTTGGAGAGGCAGCAGCCATTTTGAGAGGCAGCAGCCATGTGGTTGCATCTCAAAATGGCTGTCGCCTCTCTGCTGTTCTGACAGTCAGCTGTTCGGCGCTAGAGTCAGGCTGTTCCCAGGCTAGAAGCAGGGCTCTACTTGGTCTTACTACCAGGTAAGTGACTTCGCTGGGAGAGAGGGAGGGTTTGCTGGACATACACCCGGCGTACAAGACGAACCCCCCACTGGGAGCCTTGTTTTTCAGGGCCAAAAAGTCATCTTGTACGCCGGCAAATACGGTATATGTCCCAAACTCACCAGAAAGAACAAAAAGGACCCTTGTAAAACCATTATCTTATTTAGAAGTAAGTAAAATTACACTGAAAGATACACCCCCAATCAGTAAGTCCATGAAGTCCAAAGTATCAAAAGTTAAACAAATTATACATTTAATACATATTTAGAAGTAGTGACAGACATGTTTGTCCCAGAACATACTTATCCTCATGTATTTTGCATTAAGTGTTTTTTTTTTCAATGCTTAAAGACTAGAAGGTAAGCATAGGCTTAAATTCAAAGTCCTATTACTAAAACATGCATTTCCTCTGAGGAAATAACTGAGGAGGGATAACGTATTTATCACAGGAAATCTGCATTCAATGAACATCTAGTTAAACATTAACACAGAGGTTACCTGTGTTACCTACGTCCGATACATTACATTTCATGCTGTATGGGGGGACTTCGGGATTTGTAAAAAAGAAGAAGAAAAGAAATGTTTTCCAAACTTCAGAGTAATTATAGGTCTACAGAATACTGTTTTCTACATTTCTGCACTTGTTTTTTTCTAACCCACTCACTCACCAACATTTCTTGAATTGACCCCAATTATAACAATACTGCATGATGGAAAGTTGGATGCTGTCAAGCTTTCCTCTTGTTTCTGTCCAAATCAATATGCTGGTACATTTTGAATGACAAACAAGAAGAATAGCACCACTGCAGAGCTATTGTCTCATTTCGGCTCTAATCATTTGCTTTAAAACAGACAAAACCACAGGTCATTGCAAAACCTCAATAAGTACACCCAAAACTTCAGTGAGAACAACCTGACCTTGTATGTATCAGAAGCTGACTAATTTTCATTCATTATATTTGATAGATCATATAGTAGCCAGAACTGCTAAATATCAAGCATTTATGATGAATATTTCAATTACATAACTGCATGGAGCAGTGATGGAATGGCTGGCTCATATCTTCCTAGCTGTGGGAAGGAAAAAACAATAATTTTCCATCTAAAATAAACAGTATAAAAATCTTTCCACATCTGGTCTACTGATATTCCTCACTAGGTCTTATCACTGGCAAACTTTCTCTGGGTCCCTTTATATGGGGATATATGCTTGGAGTTAACATTTTTTACACTTATCCCTGTGCTCAGATATAAAACTGTTTTACTTAATCAGGACATTAGTGGACCCAAGGTGATACAAATAGACTGTTTAAAAAGGCCAACATTTTTTTTAATTCCTGGTACCTTACAGACCAGAAGTGAGGAATGTGTACAGCCTTCCAGATGTTGTCAGACTGCAATCCCTCACAGCCAATGGTGAGGGATGGTTGGAGTGGAAATCTTATAATATCTTATAACACACTGCTCATCCCTGAGTTAGCGACTCTGCAGAAAGTCAAGCTTTTATTCTACTAAGGTTTCCTATGGTTTCCCCAATCTTGACTAACCATTACAAGTTATTTATGAAATATTACACATTTTGATGGAAGATAACAATTTCCAGCTGCAGGCTCATTAGCATACTTGCTTACTTTATTTCTTTATATTCCCCTTGATCACTAAAAACCTCTAGGGAGTAACAGACAAGAGAACAGAATAAGCCAACACTGAGCTAAATAACGAGATCTCCAGTTTAAATAAAGAGAGCCCCAGCACAACATGGTAATTTTTACACACATACAACCGTCTTCAGCAATATGAAAATGCTGAACTCTAGTAGAATCTTCAATGTTGCGACTAAGCACTCAAATGCTGTAAAAGGATCGTGTTTTGTGTTAACTGGATTTTCAGATATTGCATCTATACGTTGTTCCTCAAGGTGGCATACGCAGAATTTTGAATTCATCCCAGCCTGCTTACCTTCCCATAGGAAAAAAAATGACTAGACCCAAACACAGACTTAGCTTCAGAAAGGGAACTACATCACACACCTTATAGCTTGGAACTGATTGAAACATATAAGACTTGCCATTTTCCAGGAACGGGTCGACATTTTATGATGAGGAGCCAATCATTTATAACATTGCCTTCCATAACCTAACGTCCTTCAGATGTGCTGGGTTACAAATCTTATCCTTTTTCCCAGCCCAGCCAGCTAACCAGAGGGCTTTTAGGCCAACACATCTGGAAGGTGCCCAGTGGAAGTGAGATTGACCTTGAACTCAACACCCAAACACTGTACCTTGATCTTTAGACCCACAAGGTAGGTGAGATATTTTTAAAGCACAAGTGTAACAAAACAAAAGTGCTTTTTGGTTCTGAATGAGGCTAAGGAAGATTTTTTTAAAGCAATGGCCATAGGCATAGATACCCTATGGAGGAGAGAATGCATGCCACCAGAAACTCTGCTGGCTTCCTACAGTGAAAGTGGATATTGGAGAGTAGGCGGCCTTTATTCTGTTGTCATTTTTTAAAGCTTTTTCCTTGTTCCATTGAGATGAAACAGGCTACAATGGTGCTAAACTGGACCCACTCTGGTCAGCCACAACATTTTGCTGGCATTACCCTCCAATGACTTTTTTCTGAGCACCACCAGAAACTTTCCATTGCCACACCAGTGCTTCCAGCAACAGACCTTATTTTCTGTCTACAGACCTGGTCCCTCCACAGCTCTCCTGGAGTAGACGTGGCTGCAACTATAGTTGAATATTTTCTTGAATTTTTGTTTAATATCTCAGAAAGAGATCTGGAGTTTGGGAAAAGACAATTTATTTAGCTATTAGTGTGGCAATGCTATACTCTACTTTTATAAATACAGTGGTGCCTCGCATTACGAGGGGAATTCGTTCCAGCAAAATCGCTGTAGAATGAAAACGTTGTAATGCGAAATTAAAAAGCCCATAGAAACGTATTAAAACCCAATTAATGCATTCCTAGGGGCTTGAAACTCACCATCCAGTGAAGATCCTCCATAGCGCGGCCATTTTCGCTGCCTGTGCAGCGAGGAATCCATCCCAGAAAAGAGCGGGAAGCCATGTTTTTTACCCGGTGGCCATTTTGAAACCACCGATCAGCTGGCCGAAAATCATCGCTTTGCGAGAATCGGTTCCCGAAGCAGGGAACCGATCATCGCAAAGCAAAATTCCCCCATAGGAAACATCGTTTTGCAATCGCTTTTGCGATTGCAAAGCCTTCAACGTGAAGCGATTTCGTCGTAAAATGGAGCGCTCGTAATGCGAGGCACCACTGTACATTAAAATATATAGGCTGGCAATAGAAATCTCTGGAAAGAATTGTTTTTCATTTTATGTAAATCTTTCCATGACAGTCATTTTTAAAATTTCTTTTTTAGCCCTTATTATTTCTACTCTTTTGTTCTCCTTTCTAAGAGACCAAATCTGGGGACCCGGTTTTAAATGTCAGCTCAGCACATGTTTACCAGGTTATTGCTAAACATCTACTCATTTTAGAACAGGGCAGCATTGCTGTGCTGAGACAGTGGACTCTTTTGTAATTATCAGACAGAGAATCTGTACCTGTACCAATGTACACTCTAATTTGCAAGCCGGCTGGGTGGGGCTCCCCTCTATCTTGCGTGATTTCACCCCTGTGTGGGTGAACATTTGACTCCGCCCCGTGCACACAGCGGTTCCATCGTGACCAGAACCAAAGGGGATGAAAACAATCGCTGCATGGCGGAGGAGGAAAGCTGCACGGATGAGGTGGAGTCACATAGGCGTACTCCTTAAGAGGGAACCTTGACATGTACCCAGAAGACATATTACGTCAAATATATCCAATGATACAGAAGGGACCTACCTGTCCACCTGGACCTCTGCATCTTTTGTTTCTGTCCTGGACTGCGCATCTCCACTGACCTCACTGCTGTTGTTCTTTAGGAGGTCTAGTACTGGCTCAATCTCTTTTAGCAGTTCATTGTTTTCGACACTGCCATTAAGGCAACAATCAGAAACTTCTTGGGTTCCTTTAAGGGAGTCCCCAGCAACAGTGTCAGTCACCATGCCGTTGACATGCGCCAAAGTCTCGCCTCCTTGCCCATTCTCTCGGGTACATCGAGAGCTCACAGAACCACCCATTTTGCAGTCTGTCCCTTGCTCTTTGTCCTTGGTGTGGAAACTTGGGTCAGATGGTAGGCTGACTAAGTTTGAAGTTGCACACAGGGGCTTGGTGATTCGGACAGTCTTGGGTGTCCCGTCACCAGTGAAGGTTGTTTCCAGGTGAGTGGTGAAACCCTCTGGGCCTCTCAAGATAAGAACGACATAGGTCTCCGAGGCAATGCTCCTCAGGACCTCCAGAGCAGTATCATAGTTCGTATCAACTAGTGGCCTTCCATTGACTGCCAGAATAATATCTCCTGTTTGAATAAGGCCACTTTGTTCGGCTGCCCCTCCACGGATCAGGTCAGAGATGATAACTGGTGGCTTGTTGATGCGTTCCTTAACCAGGAACCCAAGGCCCCCAACCTTGCGCTTGAAGAGCTTCACCGAGATGACATTGGGCTGAATCTGTTGTACACTGAACACATTTTCTTCCATTGTAGTCCTGAAATCTTCAGCCCAGGGACAAAGAGCTATCGTGTACAAGTTGTCTCTTGGTGGCTCTACCGCTGCAACACTAGCCTTTGGGGGGAGAGGAAGGGGGAGGAGGAGAGAGAAAGAAAGAGAGAGATATAACCTTATTTCTGTTTATAAGCACTATCCTGGAACAAGACCTTCATCTTGACAATGCTTCATACCTCGGTATGTTTTTGCAGGTCAAGAGTTAATCACATCCATTCTAATTCTTTATCATTCTCTGGACTCAGGTCTGGAATACAACAAAGTAAGTAGTCCTATGTGAAACAGCAGGTGGAAAAGAACACGATCACAAGTAGACATTTCCCAGTTGAACTGGTGGGCAGAAAAGATGGTGGACGCTTGAGCACACTCTTGATACTTGGGAACCTCACTTCACATCTTCTTTATCTATAGTATGAGGAAGGGGAAGGAGAAAGAAAATGCACATATCAAGCTTAGTGAAATTAAGAATACTTGCTAAATTCTTTGTTCTTGTAGATTTAAGTTGTCTCAATTAACTAGACAAGGAATTTACAAGGCCTTGTCAGAGTAAGATAAGAAACCTTTTTTCTCCAAAGGTCTCTTGTAATTTGCATAACCTCCCTTTTTGTCTTGTATACTCAAGCATAGAATGGTTAGCTGATTGTTTAAAACATACAAACAACCACAGATGATTCTAATCCTTAAACGTTCATGTAACAAAGCAAGCAGAAGTTATTTTGTGCAATGCATGTTATTTGCATTAGAATATTATTTGCATTATTTGAGCAATTTTGCTTAATTTGTAGCTCACAATTGTACAGTGAGTAATTTTGCAAGTCTTCACCCTCCATAATTCAGTTGTATTTTAATAACACAATTGTTATTAATTATTTTGACAAGACAAGTATTTTTGTTTTCATCTGTATCTGTTATTAATCTTATGTCATGTTTCTATCCAGTATGCTTTCCTTATTATCAGATGTTGTGAATCACAATTTAGGAAGAAAGGTTCAGCAGATATAGCATTAGACATAGGTGTTTCATGCCCAGAACAGAGGCGATGTCCCCTTACTCAAATTTGGGGGTGAACTACATATGTTGAACCCCTGATCTCTGAGGGTTGAGCATATGTAGTTCACTCCCATATTTGATTGTTTAAAACATACAAGCAACCCCTGAAAGGTGAGAGAGGCACAGGTGAACCACAAGGGAGGGGACAGGAAAACTGAATAAGGTACACCAACCCCCAAATCCACACCAGTGCCCCGCAACCCTATGCCATCCCTCTCAGAGGGATGTACAAACCAATTGAAACACACCTCATTGGAGGTGGAGCCTGTTGGCTCAGATTCAACGGGGACTCCTAATGTCCGAGTGTTCTGAGCCCAGAGGCTGAATATTCAAAGCTAAGATTTCTTAATTTTTGAGTTAGAAAAGTCTTATAAATGGGGGTGTCTTATAAATGGAAAAATATAGTATATGGGTAGACAGCCTAGTGGGCTACACTGGAGCAACTGGGGACGTTCACACAGTGTCTACAAAAAGCCAATACTCAGGCCTGCTCTATGTGAAGACTGATACATGTGTCAGCATGTTGTTATATGTTTCTTACATGGCAACCTTATGACTTAGTAATCTCCAAAGTTTAAGAAGTATGGCCTCTTTCCCTTGAATAGCTCTACAGTAGCGTGGGGCAGGTGTAGAGGTGGATGGGTGATTGACTGATCGATTCTTTCTCTCCTTACTGCTCTGGTAATGGGGAAGGGGAGAAGTTTGCAGCCCACAGCCAATTCTCTCCCTCTCCTGGAGAGAACCTCATCCACATCTGCTTAGTCTTCTTCCAGCACATGCTAGAACTATACAAATTGTCACAGCTTTTTAAAAAAGGGCCTAGAACAGGAGAAAAAATCTTCATATATCCTGGTTGTTTAAAATGTTTTGGTCGGTTGGTGTCTTGGTTGAGGGGTTGTTGTAGTAAATTGTATTGTTACCAGCACAAATCTGTGAAATGTTTGCTCAAATGCAACTTTTGTATAAGTTTTCAATCAATGAAATCTTTATTAAAAAAGGAATATTTAATAGATCACAAAAATGGCAACATCCTAGACCCCTTTGGTGAACCAAAAATTGTCTGACATTCCCTGGCTTGGAAGGCTGCAAGGATAACTTGGTAGAATGTGGATTTTCAATGTGTCAACATTCTGACCATGCCTTTTGTTGATTTCCTAGAAGTTGAGCATCTTTTCTTTTCCCTTTCCTCTAATGATCCAGTTGAAAAGCAAGTGACAATAGAAAGAATGAACTGTAGCATCTTTTGAGCTGTCACTGACTTCACTGATTTTGTTGGCTCGTTATACTTTTTTTTTAAGGAGGATTATGGGATGGGGAAAGACATTGCAAGTCGGTGAACAAGCAAAACTGGTAAAGTTGTCAACATGTACAGAGTTGGATTTATCATCATATTTTGAAGAGTACAGAAAAAAAGCTCTCTCCACAGCTCTGAATGAGAATAAAAAGAAAAAAGGAGAGAAGTAACGAGATGGTAGCCATGGTCACCCATTGAGTGGAATGGGGCTCGGTTCTATGATTGCCTGTGCATGATCCAGAGTAGTTCTGGTAAGCACATTACAGTTCTCTAATACAGAATGTCAAGTCCCTTATCAAACCAGAAATCCAAGCATTCCATAAGATGGAGCCATGGGATTTAAACTAATATCAAATTGCTAGAACAATGTATTGTAGATGCACAAGCACTTTGTTCTCACCCCAGTGGTGTACTATAGGGATGGGAAACCTTAAGGCCTTTGGATGTTGTTAGACAACAATTACCATAAGGCCAGGGCAGGGCAGTCAACTGCGAAAAGTAAGGAGCATTGCAATACAACAATATCCAAAATATCACAATATGACTACTCCTAATGTTGTACGACAGCCAAGACAACGAACTTGGGGAGTCTCTAGTCCAAGTCTTGCCTTTACCATGAACTCACCTGATGACCTAAGGCAAGCTCATTCTCCATTGCCCCCATTTATACCTGCAATATGGGAAATGATAATGCTAACAAGTACACAGAGATACTGTAAGAGGTGCACCTTGGACTGGAACAGTAAGAATTTTGATTCGTTTTTCCCATTTCCCAGGAGGAAAGCAAAAGACAGATTTGTCGACCATCATTATGAAGCACTATGGCCACAGGAAGGCACCATATAAACAAATGCTAAGTATCCTCATCATGATCCCCCAACAGCATTGCCACACACTATTTTGCACAGAAGGAGCTTTATTCAGGGCGGGACATTCAATACAGCATAGGCAACATTTTCCTTCTATCCATGACAAATGTTTTACGTGGGAATCAATCTGTGAAAACACAAGGATGGGAGGGAAAGAAGCAAGGAAATCTAAGACTTTAGCCAGGTGTGTGTTTTTTTTGCGGTTAATGGATATGCAGGTATGAAAACACAAGGATGGGAGGGAAAGAAGCACAGAAATCTAAGACTTTGGTCAGGTGTTGTTTTTTGCGGTTAATGGATATGCAGGTATCAGACTGTGACATGCATTTCTGCACTTGCCCTGACAACTAAATCTCCATTTATTCATTATTGTGATCTACACAGACAGACATGCTGTGTTGTAGTGTACATCAATAATGCTAGCACAGCACAATGTAGCTTCTCCCCTGATCTGTTGGATCTTTAATTGCAACTTTACACTTTTGCTGTAGTTTGTCTGAACTGGAATTGAATGTCTATCTATTCAACAGACATGCTGTCTTCCAGCCTTTGAATTCAGAGAGACCCACCTATCTGCTAAGTGTTATTTTCCTCTCTTTTCTCTGTTGATGGCAATTGTTTGCTGTTGTAACAGAGGAAATGTTTTTTTATTCTTTGTCCTACCAATGTCTTAGAGTGAGCTACTGAGACTTTAAGTGCCAGTTAATGAGAAGCGGTTAGACCCCGGGAACATGTAGCTATTCTCCTTTGTGCATACCTGTACTTCTACTGTGTAAAGAAAAGGAATTTTATCAGAAATTCGAAAATCTGCAATATGTTCCCTTGGAAAAATGAATTTTATCAGAAATTCGAAACTCTGCAATATGTTCCCTTGGAAAAACTGTTGCAGATACTCTTTGACTGTCCATAGCCATGAATGGAGAGCGAACATGTTGCAGATACTCTTTGACTGTCCATAGCAATGAATGGAGAAAGAACAACGAGTATCCATTTCTTACAACGCAAAGCTGGTTGAAATCCAGAGAGCTAGCTCTTACAACGCAAAGCTGGTTGAAATCCAGAAAGGGGCTCCTTGCCTTAGACAAAAGACACAGATTCTCAAAGAGACACAGAAATCTGCTGTGTGTTCTTTCAATATCCAGGCTCACCTTAAATAGACTGATAGTCTTTCTTTCTCCCTGCCAATTTTGCAATAGAACTGTAAGCACTCCATATTCCAAAATCGGACCTAATCTAAATATTTCCCCTCACCACCACCAAAAGGAGCATAGGGTACAGTCCTCTGGAGAGTGCCTCTGCTTGGGTCGTGGGCTTTGCATTGGGAATGAAATGCTGAAACACAGGCCAAAAATATGCACTTGATTATCCAGTATGTCAGATCAAGATGGACCTAAAAGCTATTCAGCCAGGAAGAGAATGGCATTGTGAAAGAAATTAAAATAAATCTCCCACAACATGGCATTTCAAAGCTAGGGAATCAACTCAAGAGTTCCAGTAGGCTGCCCACTTGAGAATCAAAACACAAATCACAATATTTGTCAAAAATCGCCAATTCGTCGCATATTTGCCGCTTTGCATTTGTTCACTACAGAGACCCAAACAAATACAAAGCAACAAAGTTTTGCCTATTTCTGATGTTTCAATCTGTCTACCCCTCCTTTCTGGGGCCTCCTGTGCCATCTGCAGCCGGCTGCTGCCAAGCAGAATCTCTGGGCAACCCTGGGAGGGACCTAGAGGCTCCCGAATTGGCCCGGCAGGCAGTCAGTGGGGCTGCTGAAAGGGCTGCAGGGGGAGGGGAGTTCCTTGTTAATAGGCTTTATAAAGCATTTTCCCTGGAGCTGTTTTGCGCTCCTGCTCCGAGACTTGGCATGGGCAGTTGCTACTGCTGTGTTGCCGGTGTGCTTTAGGCAGTCAGCACTTTTCCACTGTGGCAGCAAAGCATTTAAAACAGCATTTTTTAAAAAAATTCATTATTATTATTATTACTAGAAATACTGAGAATTTGGGGAGGGCTTTCTTTAGCTGGGTTCATTTTAGTTCAAAGGCTAGCTATTTTTTGCAGTTTAGGGTCAGGGTAGGTGGCATTTTAGTTCAAAGGCTAGCTATTTTTTGTGGTTTAGGGTCAGGGTAGGGTGGGTGATCTCTCTCTCTCTCTCTGTGTGTGTATTTTATTTTTTTCCCCCAATT